CAGGATCCACGGTCCCGCGGCCACGGCGACACACTTCCACGCGTGTTTCTCGAGCTGCCGTATGGAAACCGCGTACGCCGGGGTCCCCGTTCGCCCGACCTTGTTAAATCGTGGTTGTACGCTGGGTTGGCATTTACACCTGAACCCCGTCAACCCACGGACAACTACAGGCTATCTACGCGCCAATTGTTAAATGCGTCGTACTTGAAAAAGGGGGTCTGTTCGTGCGCAACTTTCAAGTCGAGTTAAGTTTCTCACGAAGTAAGTCACGCCATTTCTACTTCAAAATCACTAGAACCGCGAAATACATACAGACAACTTCGATCTTATTTTGTTTTTGTTGTTGTTGTTGTCGGCGACTTTTGTAGAAAGGGTTATGTAGAACATGCACTTACTGCAAGTCCTCCAGGCACGCTGCTTCCGGTCCGTCACCGATACAGGTCCCACCTTCGAAGGAAACCGCGCCTCGGAAGGTTGGTTCCGGGCCGCAGGGCTGGGCTTTATAAATCCAGCCGGAACACTTCACAGCCGAAACGCCGCGTTTTCTTTCTTATAATAATAATAATAATAATAATAATAATAATAATTGCTTACACTTATATAGCGCTTTTTCTGGACACTCCACTCAAAACGCTTTACAGGTAATGGGGACTCCCCTCCACCACCACCAAACCTCTTCTCTTTTCAGCAGGGAATAAACTCGCTACTTGTTCCTCTGCAGACTACGCGTGCTTGACGCAGCCACCCACCCGAACTACTTAAGAAATCGACGCGTTCATTTTTAGTTCATGGTAGCGGCGGAGCCCGAGCCCCCGTCCGGTGCAGGCGCAACAGGACACCGGTCCTTTCAGACAGACCCATAAGCCAATTATCCTACCGCCAAACCAGAGCTCCTGGAGGAAACCTACGTGAACGCGGAGTGAATATGCAAACTCCACACAGACAGCACCTCAGGTATCGAGTATAATGATGCCTATTCCATGGAAATTGGTGCCCAAATTTGTAATTTGCCGTTTTTAATATTCCAATCTTCATTTCATTTTGAAGCTGGGATCAAATGAATGCCGCAAGTGAACTAATCCATCTGTTAAAAAAAATCTTCTTTGTGTTTGTAAGATACACTGGAATACCTCCAAAGTGATCATTTTTGCCGGGCATCATTTTATAATCCACTTTGCATATA